TTGGTGTATCAGAATTGTAGTATGAATATCCTCCATTACAGTCAATTTTCTCCGGTTTAGATTGGATCGATGGTAAAGATGAGCCTCTATGATGAGGTTGTGTTGGATACTTTGTCCCAAATCCGACCATGTAAGACATTTTCATTGGATTATTTCCAAGGATATAATCAACCTGAATATTAAACCGGTTGATTAAGAACATGAAAATGGTGTACAGAACCGGACAAGGTGGAAATAATTTATTTACCTGTGATTTGGCAAAATTTCGAATTTGAGATACGGTGAACTTGGTCGAACCGCACTGGATTGAACCAACCCCGGCTTTGGTAAGAGTTTTTGAGTAATGGAACAAAACAGTTGTAGCCGTTGTTACATATTGTAAGTTGCTACTGTCTCTAATAAACAAAAGGCCACCTGAATAAACAAAAAGAAAAAGAAATGTAATAAGAAAGCCAACACCAAAAGAAAAAAACTCAAAACCAATTAACCATTTATTTAGCTAACTAGTGAAAATTACCAGGAGTTGGTTTAATTTGTTGAGAGCTACTTCCTGGCATCATTGCACAGACGAAGGATTCAACATCGGACTTAAATTTTGCCAAGTCATTTGCCCCGTTGTAAAACTCCTTTAAATTAGAAATCAACAAGAAAAATATTAATTTAGATCCACTTAATTAACGTTTATAGAATTTAGCTAAGTCGGTTTAGTTATATATATACTAACCGATACGAGTAAAGCTTGAGCGCCGACGAATTTGTTGTCCCAACTGAATTCATTAACGGCTTGGCTCCAATCTTTATTGCTTATAACATAATTTATGTAAATTTTATCTCTTGTTGCTTTATATAGCCAAGCCGCAGCCCATAATAATTCATCCTAATTTAAAATTAAAAGTGTCTTGTTAGTAACTTATTTACGTACGTAACATAAATATATCTGTAGTTTATCGGTTTAATCTATGTATACCGGTTTGATTTGATTTTATTACCTGGTAGCCGGAGTAGGAGCAGTAGAAAGGGCAAGATGCTTGATAAGAACCTCTGTACTTATCAGCAAATTCAAATAGCTGCATAAAATAGATAAAGCTACGTTACATCACGATTGAACTAATGTAATGGTTTCTTTGGACTTGATGTGTAAATATACTCACGGTTTTTGCATGGTTTAATAGTGTGGATGAATAAGTAGAATCGACCGATTTGAAAACAAGTGAGGCCGCTGCAAGAGCGGCTGCGGCTTCACCCGCGGCTTCAGAACCAGGGGAAGAGGAAGAGATACTGTAGAGAGTTCTTGATGTGTCCATATCTTCTGGCCTCTCCCAACAACTATGATCTGAATTACCATCTCCCACCTTTTTGTATCCATTATAAAACAAAAGCAATAATAAGTATTTGAATTTTGATAGTGAATTTTTTGGTATGAAATATAGAAGATACGAGATATATATACTATTAGAATGTGTAAACCAGGGAAAAGGTTGTTTACCTGGGTATATAGCATGTTGGGAGATGTATGAGCGCGTAGGATGAAATCGGTTCCCCATTTGATAGTAGACCGGAGATAACCGAGCTGGTTAACGGAAGAAATCTCATTTTGGTATTCAATTGCAGCCCAACTTAACAAGGTTGTGGTAAATGACATTGGCCACACAAATTTTACATTGTCACCAGCATCGTAATATCCTCCAATTAAATTCACCTAGAGAATAAAAAAAAATAAAAAAAGTGCGAAATTATAGATGAAATAAGGTTCAACTTTGGAAGAAATATCTGCATATAGAGTTGTGTAAGAATATAGGCAGCTTACATTAGCAAGTGAACCATCAGAGAGGGCAGAATCGGCTCGCCATTTAACTCGTTGGTTAGTCGGGAGTTTACCGGATCGTTGGCCTTCAAAGAACAAGATTGACTTGTTAAGTGCATCTCCATATTCAAGAGCTTCCAAGCTTTCAAAAGCCAAGAACATCCCAACTAACATTAACACCAAGAGCTTTCCCATTATTTATTACTAAAACTTTTTAAAGAAGTGTTTCTCTTTTGAAATGGGTTTTGAGAGTTTCTTGATTTTGCATGAAATGTGACTCATGAGGGTATTTATAGATATTGCATGGAAGTTAAGTTGGGTACGTAATGTCATGTCATGAGATGTTTCACGTAATTTTAGGGTAATTTGGCTGCACTGTTTTTATTTTCTCTAACAAGAATTAAGTTTCGATGATTACGGACTTACAAGTAAAGGTTTTCGATATAGCAAGTTGTAGTTAAACATTTCACATCGTATATTTTTTCCTAACCACCACACTTTTTTTTTCCTTCTTTTCTATGATTCTATCTGTGAAGGTTTATAAACTGTTATTTAATGTAGAAGTTTTAATATATTTCCTTAAATAAGACCTTTCTGGTTCATTTACAGCAAAACAAAAAAAATATCAAATCACTACTTCTTTTAAATGATTTTATTGTTTTTTCTTAAAACTAATAAACAATGTGTAAAACCTATGTTTGTATGTAGTTCTATAATCTATATCAATTTATATCGGTTTCCTAAGAAACCCATACCTATAGGTCCTCTGGTCTTACGCATATATATTGTCGTAAATTTGTAAAAATACTCCATAACGATCCACAATTGTGTTTAGGTATGTATCTGAAACTTGACTTAAGAAACAAGGAAATGAATACGAAAAGATCGTAAAAGGTATTGGTTTAAAAGGAATCAAAATCAAATACGCCGATTCCATGCCTATACTTTAGGATATACAAGCAAACTAATAATAAATAGTCAAGCAGAAAAAATCCCATATTTTGGATGGATAATGAATGTATCCCACAATCCAAGTTCACTAAGATAAACAAATAATACTTTCACATGCAGAAAAGATAAACAAACTTCATTTCCTAATTCGCATGTATAATTTGACAGAAATTGAATTGAACATTTACTAGTTACCCGTTTGGAAAATGAAATTGCAAACTTATTAGATGATGTAACGAACTAAATATATAACATATCATCGTAAATATTGTAAATATGTTCACTTTTATAGCTTGATTAATGGTAAAATGAAAATTTGATCTAAAGAAAAGGCAATCTTATCTAGATGTGAAAACGCAAAGTGTCGTTTTTCACGTGTGAGAATACTGATTGACTGGACTAGTACGTAGTAATATGGAGATGCCGTGCGGTTGAAATGTCTGTATAAAAACATTTCAGCACCCATTCCTTACAACGTCGTCAATGTTAGATTTTGCCGTTAGTTTTTATTTTATTTTGTTTTCAGTTGTCATAAACTTATTTCAGTTATCAGTTATTATAACTAATTGTTTTTTGTTCCTCTTTTCCTGCTAAGTGTAAACCTATTGCACAAATTTCTTGCATGCGTGTTCACCGTATATATGTTTTTAATTCCTCTTCCGTTATTGGTTTTTTAGTGATGAAATAAAATGGAACTCAACTAGCGACAGTACAGTTCATGATCATATTGGATACATGTATTAGTTCATTTAATTTAATTCAATTATATACACAATAGTTTATTTAATTTCTCTCTAAATGATTGATGATGATTGACGTTATTTTCACGGTTTTGGTACCGTATAAGTTTAGTAAAGTGTCAAAACGACATTGTTTGTGAAACATATGGAGTATTTTTTCAAGAGTTAATTTGCCACTCTATCATATCGTTTCTAAAAATTGAAATCATTTCTAGTTTTAATCCTGGTTTAGCTATAGTGATACTATTATGCTCCTCATTCTCACAATTTATTTCTACTTTGTTTCTTTACCTTCACAATTTCTGCCAAATGAGATCAATATAGACGTCTTCAACATCAAAGTTTTTGTTTATAAATACAAAATTTAAAATAATAATTTTGGTCAGAGTCGATGGTTATAAGGTGATGGGCGTGATGGCAAAGCATGTGACAAAGTTTTATGTCCACTATTCTCTTTTCGCCTAACGCAAATTCGTGTACGTTACAACTCCCTAATAATAATGCGTTAATTACTCTGCCAAGCTCATTTTCATTTATTACTTTACATGTTTTTTTTGTTTAAAGCATTGTCATATTTATTGTCATTATGAAACCCAAAATGAAAGGAGTTAATTAGAGATCATTGTTTTCATCTAGAGCAGAGCTCTGAAACTGGAACCAATTATTTGGAGTCTTGATGCAAATTCATGTAGCCTTGGAGCTCTGAAATTGTTCTTCTATATGTTTGCTGATCAAATTGTTAAAATAATGGTGAGACTGAGGCTCATGGTTTAAATACTAGCAAAAATGATAAATTTAAAATCCCCCTTAGCCACGGACCTTGAGCAAAGAGTCTAGTGTATGTGTCTATATATGGTTCACCTTTTGGATAAGAAATCAATTTCAAGCTCATCTTTCTACATAGAGAGAAACTTGGATCTTGTACTTTTTAAGATGAAAACATCCATAAAAAGGTAAAGATAAAGCTGATATGGCAAAACGCCAACAAAATCCTACAAGTAAATAAATCTTGGGCCAACTTTAATGTTCCTAAAAGAAATGAACTTAGCTACAAAGTTACTAGTCACGTCTCTGCTGCCAAAATTCTTGACACATTCTTTACACTTCTTCGAACAAAGAGAATGGTTTGATCCACAAAGGATGCAATGCGCACCGCTTCCACAACATTTGATCTGTGGCATAAATCAATCTTGCACCATAAGGGCTTGAAACTTTCAGCTTTTGCCACTAACACTCTAACGCAAACTTGTGTTAGACTGCAACCAAATGAAATATTTGAGAAGCACCAGATCCATTAACAGCAACTATGAGCCCATTACAATGATTTGCCTCCATCAGTGTCTTGGATCGCTAACACTATCCAATAACCAGCCTAGCTGGTAATTAGACAGAATTTTTTTTTCTTCTGGATCTGTGAAAATAAATGTAACATGAGCCATTGACTAAGATCTAGCTCTAATTAACTCAGTCAAAACGACGATCAAAAGATTGAACTATTGGAAATGGAAGGGGCCGCGCGAACGCAGGCCCCCAAGGCAACAAATAATGACGCAGGATCTCCCACTTGGGGTGACCTTTGGCTTAGCGCACCTCAAGTGCAGGAAGCCACTAGCCTAGGCCACGGATCTTCATGATCACCCGTAAACCCCGTCCAGGTAAGTAATTTGCAATCCTCGACCATCTTCTTTATTTATACTATGCTACACACGAGTGCCCATCCTCAAACTTCCGATGAGGGAGCATCAACATTATCTCGTATCTACTATAGGCAGGCTTTCGTTGTTTGATTAGCCCAAGTTTTATTTCTTGATAGGCCGCAATGTCTATATTCCGGTCCAAATCAAACCCAACAGATTTTTTTTTTTGTCGGCTATTTGTCACAGATTTCTTTTTATATACGAGGAACAAGGTTAATTATATTGAACTAAACATTTAAAAAAAAAAAGAATTTTACAGATGCAGGTTGATATTTAACGTTATTGTGGGTCAACTCAACTCATAAGCAAAGTTGATATGATACTATTTAAATTGACTTCACCACATCCACTTGACACTAATAAATTGACTTCTCCATCCCTATCCACACATATTTGAATCTTCCAATAAGGTTCCACGAAACTGCTAGGAAAACAATATTTTCTAAGGCAATAGTCCCACTTTGGTTAATCATAAAATTGTCAAATCCACTATGTAATTTGTGATCCATAATAAATTAAACCAGTTATTCATCATCTAAGTCAGACACTATTTTAACTCTAGAAAACTTGACAAAGTACATGAAATGTTTTTGAAGTGAAGTAACAAAATTCCAACATGTACAACATATTTTTTTTTTTTAAAAACGAAAATATATACACTAAAGACCTCACCTATTATTTTTTATTTTTCTTAATAATATCAAATCTCACATATTTAATGTACACATAAAATTAAATTTATAGAAAATGAAATATATTATTTTACAAAAATAAGGAGAAACTTTGTGGAAAAAATAGAAAAATATTTAAATTATTGTTTTTATAAATTTTATTTTGGGTTCGAACTCTTCAACTCCCTGAACACAAGTCGCATAAAACGAAGGAACAATCTAGAAGAAGAACGATAACATCCAATCTCTCTTTATATTCCTTCCTTCCATTGTGGCAATAAGTAACAAACCTTGCCCTCTACTTCATTCCCTCCTTGTTTTGATTTCATCGTCTTTGTTAGCTCTCCTCTGTTTGTTTTTCTTAGTCAATCGATGGCGAAGGAGCTTGCTGATAAGGCTAAAGAGGCTTTCGTAGACGATGACTTCGATGTTGCTGTTGACTTGTACTCCAAAGCCATTGACTTGGATCCTAATTGCGCTGAGTTCTTCGCTGATCGTGCTCAGGCCTATATCAAACTCGAAAGCTTCACTGGTAGCTTCTTTGTTCTGTTATCTTCGTCTTTTACTGTCGTGGACGCCTTCTGGGGTTCTGGGTTTTTGTATGTTTTGGGTTTCTTACTTCATCATAGCTGAAAGTTGTTGACTTTGCTGGATTATGTGTATTTAGGGTTTCGTTTTGTGTCCTGTCGCTTGATAGTGTCACAATTCTTTTCGAAAGTTTAAAGCTTTCGTATCAATTTGATACTAATGTGTCTCTCTTTTGCTGTTTGTGGAGGAACAATGTATCGGAATTGCTTTCATGAGAAACGAAATTTAGTTATTTGTTATCAGTAGCGAGTGCCCTTTACAAGTTATGCATTCAAACATTGGTTTAAGTTGGTTTTAGCTGTGCTAGTCTTTTGATTCTTTGATTGTGAATATGGAGAATTTTGTTTACAGATAGTGTTAAGTATTAACGGAGTATTGAAAGTTTCAATTTTTGCTTGAGTGATTAGTCTTTAGTTCAACTATTTCTTGCTTTAAGAAAGTATTCTCTGCATTTTTAGCGTAGTATCATAGAACTTTACTAGTTGGATAAGATTTTGGTCTCATTTGATTCTCAATGAGCAGAGGCCGTGGCAGATGCGAACAAAGCAATTGAGTTGGATCCTTCATTGACCAAAGCTTACCTAAGAAAAGGGTAACGTTTTGCTATTTCCTCCTATGTAACATTTTTAAGTCGTATATAAGTTGTAGTGAGAGTTTAATTTTCTCTGATTCCTTAGTCCTTAGATTGTTTTACTACCAGTTTATATGGTCTGCAAATGTGGTATATATCTGTCAAGCTATTACTTCCATTGTTCATGGTTTGGTTTTTGTATTTGTAGAACTGCCTGTATGAAGCTTGAAGAGTATCGGACTGCTAAAACAGCTCTTGAAAAGGGTGCCTCTATCACGCCGAGTGAATCCAAATTTAAGAAGTTGATAGATGAATGCAATTTTCTAATCACAGGTATGTTTTTTGTGTTTTTTTCTTGTTTTCTGGTTGATTATGTTTACATGCCTAGAGTGATTGTATTGTTTGCCATGGTACAAAATATTTTGTTATGTAATTCACCTAAGGTTTTGATCTATGGAACTTGTAAATATCCTTTTTCCAGAAGAAGAGAAAGATTTGGTTCAACCGGTGCCTTCGACTTTGCCTTCAAGTGTGACAGCACCACCAGTATCTGAACTTGATGTCACCCCTACAGCCAAGTACAGGTAGTTTTATTGTAGAAAACAATACCAAAGTTTTTAAGAATCATTAAATATCTGATATTCTTGAGTGTTAACAGGCACGAGTACTACCAAAAGCCAGAGGAAGTTGTGGTAACTGTTTTTGCAAAAGGAATACCCAAGCAGAATGTTAACATCGACTTTGGTGAACAAATTGTGAGTATAAGGCTCTTAAGAACCCAACTCAATGGCACTTCTGTGTGCTTGTGTGTTAATGGTATTGTTTTGTGTTTTGAAGCTGAGTGTTGTGATTGAGGTTCCTGGAGAGGATGCGTATTATCTCCAACCGAGATTGTTTGGAAAGGTAATTTATCTGTTGAATGAATTAATGTTGGTTTTTCTTTCAACACTCTGAGCTGAACATGTTACATGACTTTGTTTTACGGTGTATATTCAGATAATACCAGATAAGTGCAAATATGAAGTATTGTCGACCAAAATTGAGATCCGTCTTGCAAAAGCCGATATAATCACATGGGCCTCCCTCGAACACGGCAAAGGGCCAGCGGTTTTGCCAAAGCCTAATGTCTCATCAGGTTTTCTACCTTTTCCTTCTTCAGTGTCATCTGATGAGCTTAAACAACAGTCTCTTGTAATGTAAATCTTATGTTGTATGTATGATGATGCAGAGGTTTCACAGAGGCCAGCTTATCCATCTTCTAAGAAAGTTAAGGACTGGGACAAGCTGGAAGCTGAAGTGAAGAAGCAGGTCCGTCTCTTACCATGTACTTAAAACCTCGACCAAACGGTTTTGTTTTTTCTCTTCTTTTGTTTGATTGTGGTTGACTTGCAGGAAAAAGATGAGAAGCTGGAAGGAGACGCAGCTTTGAACAAATTCTTCCGGGAGATATACCAGAATGCGGATGAGGATATGAGGCGAGCGATGAGCAAATCATTTGTGAGTATCTCTTTTCATGGAGTACTGTAAAAGTTTTGTCCTTTTGATCGACTCATTTATGGTTTTCGGGTTTTGAACAATGAGCAGGTGGAATCGAATGGGACAGTGCTGTCAACAAACTGGCAAGAGGTTGGGACTAAGACAATCGAGAGTACTCCTCCGGATGGCATGGAGCTCAAGAAATGGGAGATCTGATCTGATATGATATGATGATCCTTTCCTTTTTATGCAGTTGTGAATTTTGCCTAAATGTAGACAAATCTTGAAACCTGGTCCCTTTCTTCCTGTAATGAGGATCCTAAGGTTTTTGCTTTTTTGTTAAATATGGCTTTCTACCTCTGCTATGTTGTGACTTGTGAGTTATATTGTCTTTAGGTCTCAACTTTTTTTTTATTTTTTTTATTTGAGTATTCATAATTTCATCATGATCACTATTCTTTAGTTTTTGTTGAAACTTACTTAATTAGTCTACAAAACCAAATATATCCCAAGTATGGAGTTAAAAGTCAAAGAATTGAGTTAACCTCTCGATCGAGTTGTAAATTGTCACTTTAGAGTCGTTTTAAACTTAAGTATGGAGAAAGTGATTTTTTATTAAAGAGTTATACAATATTTGTAATTATGAAAGGAACTACGTTACCGACTTGGTGTTGTCCAATGGTATATTTTCTAGGTAGAGATGTTGGATTCGACATTTTTAGAGATATGTTTTCTTTAAAAGAAATGAATTTAATTTGTTGTATATCCTGCTTCTGGAACATATAGAGCCTTCGAACTTAAACTTCCATATATTCCAAAGAAATAAAAAACCCACGTTATTTGTGTAAAATTTTTACATCTCACAACCTTTATTTTCCGATAAAATCGTGAATTTTTAATATATATTGACATGGAATATTCTTTTGATTATGCAGGTGATCAGAGCATCGAGTCAATAATCCTTAATGTTCAATAATCCAATCAGCCGCACGTAATAGGAGAAGAAATCTATTTGTTTTTAAGGCCGCCTATGATCTATATATATGAACTACCCACACCTGTTTTAACTAACAAAATCTAAAGTTTTCTCAACTAGCCAAAAAAAACCCTAAAAGCCTCTCAGCTTCTCTCTTCGACAATGGTGAATACTTGTAGGACCAGCTTCATCATCATCATCATCATCATGATTCTCTTGCTCTTCATCTAGAAGGTCGAGATCATCTTCCTCATCACCGGACACTTAGTGAGAAGGAGAAAGCTGATAAGTAACGTCTCAGTTTCATATTTAGAACGATCGAGGCTGACATCAGTCTGGATGAAGATGTTTCTCTCCGGCTTCCCCAATTTGCTCATTACTGTAGGCGGCCTATTACAGTCACTGACAACACTAGGGCTTTAAGTTTGTCGCATTAGGGTTGATTACTTGATTGATACTCCATGAATCATGTAAACCCTTTTTCTATGACTTTTGTCTCATGTCTTTGTAAACTATTCTTCAATTTAATTTTGCCAGAATAATATACAAAATAAATCCTAGTGTTTTTTTTGTTTATGATGACAATATGACATGCATTCTTACGCCTCGACGTCGTAACTCTTCTTCAATTTCATCAGATTTCGTTATGTTGTATCTATAGTTATGATCAATCTTTATCGATAG